TTGGAGTTAACACACTTTCTGTATTAACGTCGTATAGCCTCTCTCTTTACAAGACACGCCCCTCTAACAATATGATTGGCGATTGGTGTGTTATGTCATACTCTAGGGGCGTACCCCTAGTAGATTTAAAAAGAGGCGCAATGTAGCCCGCAGTTAGCTCTTGACAAAGGCGAAAAGGTATCGCCAAAACGCGCGTTGAGCCAATTTCTCCATTACTGCGGATGATTTCATATTAGGACCACTGGTCTCTCTCACTCTATTTTCTTCCCCTTGAGAGGTCGTCAGTGGGGATTGGTTTATGTACTATTATTACTTGTTAGATTACCTGGAGATTGTTACTTAGGGATCCCTTACTCCAAATCACCTATAGTACTGTAGGCAATGAGACATATGTAAAACTCCACGGTACCCAATATCTATTAACTTTTATATATATACTGCACTAACTGAACTGCAGGGTGAGGTCTGGGTCTTTTGGTCACGCTAACTGCCTATAACATTCCGAGACGCTCTGATACCGTCTCGGTCTCATGACGAATTACGGCTTTTAGGTTAACAAATATACCTACCGACCATCACCTATACCCTGGGTCACCTACAATTTATCCTACTATAGCAGTATACAGTATTCTCTTATTTTTCTTTATAGGGTATTATAATTACGGCTAATTTCTATCCTCCAGTGCTAATCTTGTTATCGATTTAGCATATCTGGGGAGAGTTATCATCTTATTGCCACAAATACCCTTTCCTCCTAATACTTTTCCATACCCCACTGGAGGGTTTAAAGGACCACTATAGTGCCAGGAAAACATACTCGTTTTCCTGGCACTATAGTGCCCTGAGGGTGCCACAATCCTCAGGGTCCCTCTCCCGCCGGGCTCTGGGGAGAGGAAAGGGTTAAAACTTACCTTTTTTTCTAGCGCCGGGCGGGGAGCTCTCCTCCTCCTCTCCGCCTCCCATCCTCCTCTTCGGCTGAATGCGCATGCGCGGCAGGAGCAGCGCGCATTCAGCCAGTCTCATAGGAAAGCATTCATAATGCTTTCCTATGGACGCTGGCGTCTTCTCACTGTGATTTTCACAGTGAGAAGCACGCAAACGCCTCTAGCGACTGTCAATGAGACAGCTGAAGTGGTCTGGGTGCCTAGAGTGGTCCTTTAAATAACTACCTTCTCCATCATAGGAGTTATAATAGATCTATCTATTCAGTGGTTTATACAAAGTATCGATTTCCATGCAACTATTTGCAACATACTATCTAGACACTTTCCACGTTACAAATTAGATCTACTTCAGTGAGAGGACAGTTGGTCCTATTTTAACATTTGTTTATTTATCATCACTATTGTTTTTGTGTGTTTATCACTTAGGTAGTACACGTAAAGTATACACTTTTATATATTTTCGGTTCCTTATGAGAGACTAATAAAGATTAGATAGTTTTATTCTTTTTGCTCTGTACTTAGACATCTACTTTATTTAGAGCAATTTTCTCTTTAGGATACTAGGTCTACAGTTGCAAGAAAAAGTATGTGAACCCTTTGGAATGATATGGATTTCTGTACAAATTGGTCATAAAATGTGATGTGATCATCATCTACGTCACAACAATAGACAATCACAGTCTGCTTAAAATAATAACACACAAAGAATGAAATGTTGCCATGTTTTTATTGAACACACCATGTAAACATTCACAGTGCAGGTGGAAAAAGTATAGACTAATGACATCTCCAAGAGCTAATTGGAGTGAGATGTCAGCCAACTGGAGTCCAATCAATGAGATGAGATTGGAGGTGTTGGTTACAGCTGCCCTGCCCTATAAAAAACACACACCAGTTCTGGGTTTGCTTTTCACAAGAAGTATTGCCTCATGTGAATGATGCCTCGCACAAAAGAGCTCTCAGAAGACCTACGATTAAAAATTGTTGACTTGCATAAAGCTGGAAAGGGTTATAAAAGTATCCAAAAGCTTGCTGTTCATCAGTCCACGGTAAGACAAATTGTCTATAAATGGAGAAAGTGCAGCACTGCTGCTACTCACCCTAGGAGTGGCCGTCCTGTAAAGATGACTGCAAGAGCACAGCGCAGACGGCTCAGTGAGGTGCTGAAGAATCCTAGAGTGTCAGCTAAAGACTTACAAAGTCACTGGCAAATGCTAACATCCCTGTTAGCGAATCTACAATACGTAAAACACTAAACAAGAATGGATTTCATGGGAGGATACCACAGAGGAAGCCACTGCTGTCCAAACAAAACATTCCTGCACGTTTACAGTTTGCACAAGAGCACCTGGATGTTCCACAGCAGTACTGGCAAAATATTCTGTGGACAGATTAAACCAAAGTTGAGTTGTTTGGAAGAAACACACAACACTGTGTGGCGAAAAAAAAGCACAGCAAACCAACATCAAAACCTCATCCTAACTGTGACGTATGGTGGTGGGGGCATCATGGTTTGGGGCTGCTTTGCTGTGTCAGGGCCTGGACGGATTGCTATCATCAAAGGAAAAATAAATTTCCAAGTTTATCAAGACATTTTGCAGGAGAACTTAAGGCCATCTGTCTACCAGCTGAAGCTCAACAGAAGATGGGTGTTGCAACAGGACAATGACCCAAAGCATAGAAGTAAATCAACAACAGAATGGCTGAAACAGAAGAAAATATGCCTTCTAAAGTGGCCCAGTCAGAGTCCTGACCTCAACCCGATTGAGATGCTGTGGCATGACCTCAAGAAAGCGATTCACACCAGACATCCCAAGAATATTGCTGAACTGAAACAGTTCTGTAAAGAGGAATGGTCAAGAATTACTCCTGACCGTTGTGCACGTCTGATCTGCAACTATAGGAAACGTTTGGTTGAAGTTATTGCTGCCAAAGGAGGTTCAACCAGTTATTAAATCCAAGGGTTCACATACTTTTCCCACCTGCACTGTGAATGTTTACATGGTGTGTTCAATAAAAACATGGCAACATTTCATTCTTTGTGTGTTATTAGTTTAAGCAGACTGTGATTGTCTGTTGTTGTGACTTAGATGATGATCAGATCACATTTTATATCCAATTTGTGCAGAAATCCATATCATTCCAAAGGGTTCACATACTTTTTCTTGTAACTGTATATGGGTGGCTGGTTTATTTAATCTGCCACTTTTTTAGCCCTTCTTTTTCTATTCCGCCTTCTGGGATTATGCCCCGTAGTATCCAACAAACATTACGACTCTGGTGGAGTGGTTTGTCCCACTCCTAACCATTGTTGTATTTTTTTCCTCTATGATGAAAGTTCAGTGTCTTAATGCAGAGGGAGGAATCACTGAATTGCAGTGCTGCACACAGTGTGGCACTACCCCAGGAAGCACCTCTAGTAGCCATCTGAGGAGTGGCCAGTGGAGTTATCCCTTGGCTGTAATATAAACACTAAATTTTCTCTTAAAAGACAGTGTTTACTACAAAAAGCTTGAAGGGAATGATTCTACTCATCAGAACAAATACAATAAGCTGTAGTTGTTCTGGTGACTAGAGTGTCCCCTTAATGCTGGTTTTTTTCTCTGACCCTTTTGTTATAACAAACAGGACCAGGCAAGGCTGCTCTCTCTCCCCCTGCTGTATATCATGGCATT